AAATAAATCAATCTTAAAAATAAAATAAATTAAAAATACATATATATAAAAGTCGAAATAACTTCCTGTGAGCACAAGGCTCTAGTGTCAAAATCTTTATTGCATAGAATTCAATTGATCAAATAAATGCATAAATTTTGATAATCAAACATCAAAATTAGAATTTTATTGGAGATGTAACTCTTAATGAGACTGAGAATTTATTTCTTTAAATCCCATCCATGGATGAGTATCACCATTGCTAGAATGAGACAGGTTTAGCATCAATACTAATCCTATTTTTGGGCGCCTGGGTGGCTCAGTTGGTTAAGCAACTGCCTTCGGCTCAGGTCATGATCCTGGAGTCCCGGGATCAAGTCCCACATCGGGCTCCCTGCTCGGCAGAGAGTCTGCTTCTCCCTCTGACCCTCCCCCCTCTCATGTGCTCTCTGTCTCTCATTCTCTCTCTCAAATAAATAAATAAATCTTTAAAAAAAAAATACTAATCCTATTTTTCATCTTTTATACATGTAAGAGCTGATAATCTTTGTTTACATAAATAAGCAGATGCCCATCTAGGATTTATTGAATCTGCTGAATACAATTCTCTGAACTCCTTCAAAGTTCTATGCCAAATCACATTGTGATCTACCATCAATTTTTTTAATTTAAATTTTCAATTACTTTAGATTTACAGAAGAATCACAAAGATAGTTCAAAGAGTTCCCCCATATAGCCTTGATCCAGCTTCCCCTAATGTTGACATCTTAAAGCACAGTACATTGATCAGAAATTAGAAATCAACATTGCTGTAATAGTATTAACTACAGACATTGTTAATTTCACCAGTTTCTCCACTAATATCCCTTCTCTGTTCCAGGATCTAATCCAGGATACCACACTGCATTTAGTTGTCATCTCCTTGTCTCCTCCAGAGTTTCTCAGTCTTTTCTTGTCTTTCATGATGTTGACAGTTTTGAAATGTACTTATCAGTTATTTTCTAGAATGTCTCAATTTGGATTTGACTGTTTCCTCTTGATTAGACTGGGGTTATGAATTTTTGGGGAAGAATTCCAGAGATGAACTCCTTCTCATTGCATCATATCAGGGGGCAAATGATATCAATCTGATTTATTACTGGGGTGTTAACCTTGACCACTTAGCTAAGGTGGTGTCTGCCAGTTTCTCCATTGTAAAAATTACTATTTCCTTTTTCACATTTTATTGTTTAGAAGCAAGTAAGTCCAGTCCACACACTCAAGAGGTGGGATTCAAGCTCTACCTCCTGGAGGAAGCAGCACCACAGATTTTATGGCCGTATGTTAAAACCACCACTATAACTATTAAATATTTGGGGGGAGATACTTTGAATCTGTGAAAGTATTGTTTCTTCTTAAAGTTTCACCCACTACTTTTAGACTTTATCACCATCAATTTTTAAAATAATCTATCAGCTGGTAACTCAATTACGTCCTCCTTCAATTTGGTTGAAAGCAAATACGTGGGAACCAATTGCAAAATCCAAGTATCTACATATTTCCAAGTGTTCTTGTGTCTGGGGTCCCATAGGTTTGTACACCCTCGGGCAGTACATCATAGATCTGATTCAGGATTGGAGAGAGGTATGCCCTTCTTTTGTAAAATGGGAGAAGTGTCCTTAGACAACTTTGGAAAAATCAGGATGTACACGTTGATTTCCTGAAAACTGACCTGGTCTGAATACTTCATGAGGTTAGTATTCTCGAGTTTGAAGACATGGCTCTGAATGATTCTACTCCAGTGATTTCACCTACCAATACTGCCGTTAATTCCTCGAATTCTTACCTTTTGGTCGATACCTGTTCCCTTCTCCAAGGCAAATCTTCTTTCAACCAGTAAGTCCTCTAGCAACTTGGCTTCCTAATTCGGGCTTCATTTTCCTCCTCTTAAAATATTAAGCGGCTTGCAGCTTCCAGAACACACACTGCTGCTTACCTCTACCGCCTGGATATTCCATCCACATCCCCTCTCCGCCTCACCTGTGTAGCTGGGGCTCTGGATTCACAGTCTAGGCTAGATGGCCACTTGAAAACGTGCTCAAAGTGGCAGATCTCGAGGGCTGTAGAGCGAACTGCTTCTGGGGCGGGGCAGTGAGTGCTAGCTAACGTTTGTAGAAGTTTCCCACATTTCACGGTGAGGAATGTTTGCTGCACACCACAGCCTTCAGAGTCCGTAGGCACCCAGCGCTCTCAAGGCGCCTCGTCTGCGCGGTGATTTCCAGTGTTGGCCACGAAAACGCAGTGTCCAGCCCTGAAATGCAGTAAGCCCTAGAGAAAAGCCAACTAGTATTCTTGCCTCCAACGCCTTCACCCGGAGCAGCCCGGAGCAGTCCAAACCCAGAGACCCCGCCCGCCTCGGTCTGCCCGCCCCACCTTAAAGTGGGCTGGGAGTGCCCGTTCCTCAGGCAGGCTGTGGACCCATCAAGGGCCTTTACTGTTTGAAGATTACAAAGCCAGTCAGCAACTCACGCGAGAGGGAGATAGTATTCTCGCGAGAACTCTGGGAGGCGGCAGTGATGGCGGCGGCGGGAACCGGACCCGGACCCGGAGTGGATGCAGGACCCGGCCCAGCCGCGGCCGCAAATGCAACAGCGGCGGAAGAAGGGGAGACAAAACCGGTGGTAGCGGTGGCAACTGCCCCGGCTGGAGAGGGGACATCTGTTGCTCCAGCAGCGGAACCCGGTTCTGGAGAGGCAGAAAGCGGGTAAGACGTCCTGTAGCCCGAGGAGGACACAGGAAGGGAGGCCCTCCCTTCTTGGAATCCCGCGGCTCCTGGGAACCCTCCTGCCCGCCCCCTCCGAACCTAGGCCCTGCAGCCAACGGCTCGCCCTGCCCCCTCCAGGACTGTAGTCCCGCCCGCCGCTGGGCCCGTCCCCTTGGCCCTCCCCTCTGAACTGTATCTGAAACTACGCCCCTTTCCGCACCTTTCGCGGTCTGTGAGAGTCGAGGTTCTTGTTCTCTCTCCTGCTTTTGCATCCTAACGGGGCTCGAAGCTCTCTCTTCTAGCAGACACCCCTCAAATATCTCAGAGAAGAAACCACTTTGCGTTGCCGGACTGGAAGAAGTAACGGTTCCTCTGAAAACAGTGGGAGAGCTGCGTCCCTGCGAACCTTCCCCAGGACCAATTCCATCCCATGTAGTTTTGTCTGTAAGGGCCGATTAGGCTTCCCTGTGCCCTATGGGCCTGCGTCTGTCTAGGCCATGTTCTTCCTACCCCGGGGCATCCAGACTGAGAACAGGCTTAGTTGAAAAAGCTGTAAGAGTGTGAAGTTCAGCTGGACTTTGATCATTATCTTTGGGCATAGGCATTTTGAGGTTTGTTTCTCTTGAAAATTCTTACTTGAGTGCTTCCATTATCTTGTAGGGATGCAAATTCAGTCGACGTAGGTGGTGGTTTGGAGACAGAATCCTCTAATGGAAAAGATACACTAGTAAGTATTTCTTTTTGGATGTATGCAAGGCAAAATAGGTTTTAAACTTTTAAGTGAGTCAGAAATACAATTGGGTCAACTGACTGGATTTTCTAATTGCTCTGTGGACGCAGGAAGGTGCTGGGGATACTTCAGAGGTGATGGATACTCAGGCTGGCTCGGTGGATGAAGAGAATGGCCGACAGTTGGGAGAGGTAGAGCTGCAATGTGGGATATGTACGAAATGGTTCACAGCCGACACGTTTGGCATAGATACCTCGTGAGTATTTTTTGTAGTCTCTTCGAATCGCCTTGTAAAATAAATCTCAACATGTGCAACACCTGAATAATAGTTTGTGGGCAAATATAAAAGCATATTATTTCCTATGTCTTCTAACCCCTGTTCAGTGAGTAGTAGGATTTGATTCAGAAATTGTTTTAATAAGCTGAGCGTGCTTTCTACCTATTGAGCTTGTTTTGAGCTTACAATCTGGTTGGGAAACAAAACTGTGCAGTTATGAAGCACTGTATAAACAAATATGGGACAGTATCACTTAAATGTTGTATTGGGTGTTACGGATTTGGGGGTAAGGGTTGGTGTCTATGGTAGACAAACGCTGCTGTCAAAAATTTGAGATGACCAGTGCCTCTTCAGGCTTGAGCCATTCTTTTTCCTTTTGGCTTCTAACTCACTCCCTTTAAGTAAGTATCCTGTGTTCACTCAGCATATTTCCAATCTTCCTCTTCTAATGAATCAAAATCATTTTATGATTGATTGAGAATAAAAGGCTTTTTGCTTTATTGTAGGGATTCAGTCAACAGCTAGCAAGTGCTCGATATTGACTCACTGTCTATGGAAATAATTATACTGCTGGCTCTCTGGTGTTCCTTATGGTCCATATTATGCAAGTAAATTTAGATTGTTTCAAGTCTTCATTATTAATTCTGAAATTCTTCCTCATTGGGTGGGTTTGCGAGGAAATACCTTCCTTTATAATTTTATGCTTTCTAGTTAAAAAGTTATAGTGGGTTTTAGAAATGCTAATGTTTAATTAACATGTGACTGGTGACCTAAGGTAGAACATTTAAAAAAGAAAAAAAATACTGAAGGATCTGGAAGAAAGAATTGATCTTAGTAGAAGGATCTGTAGGGAAAATATACAAGATAAGCAAAGCTGGTCACTTAGACAAGACCTAAAATCGGGCACCTTTGGCCAAGGAGAGTTTATTTGGATAGACAGAGCCTTGGAAATTTACCGGAGAGATAACTTGGGGTGATCTAAGGAAGAATCAAAGCACAGTTTGGAGTTTTGGTAGGAACAGTTTGCACCTGAATTTGAGAAGTTACACCTAAAGCCCAACTAGGTGGGACAGATTATCTTTCACAGCTGAGATGGAGGAAGCGCGCTAGCAGGGTTGGAAAAAGGTTGCTGTAAACACCTGATTGTATTTGAATTAAATAACAACTGCCTACATATCACTCGTTGGAGGCTTTGCTCTCTGTAGGTGATTTTATCACAGCGGGCTGTTGAACAGAAAGGTTTCGAGAGCAAGGTAAAGGCAAGGGAATTCAATCTTAACATTCACAAGAACGTTTCTTAATTTATTGAATGGTGGCAATAGACACACACCGGGAAGCTTCTCTTTGAGGATACCTTAAGCAAGTTTCAGCTGAGTCCAAGATAAACTTGCTTTTGATTTCTTCTCTTACAACTTGAACCAGTCTTGTGTTTTTCCGTTACTTTCTCCTTTTTAAGACTAAGGTCTCCCTGTACTCTACTTTTCCAATCGTTGGGTGCAGTCTCCACCCACCTCCTTCTCCAATGCATTGGTTCCCTCAGTTATATCCTCAGCATCTGCCATTTTTTTTAATCTCTCCCTCCATTGGCATCTTTTTCTCTGCCTCTAAACAGACAAGTCTTCTCTTGCCCCCAAACTCCCCTTTTAGAAGATTTCATCTTTGTGATACAGTCACCCTTAGTAGTTAGAATCCTTTCACTTCCGCCCACCACCCCCCCTTAGTCACCAAGCTTTACCAGTTTTTTCCCTTCTTTGTACAGTCTTGTCCTTTCGTTTATTAATTTCACCCTAGGTGAGGCCGAGGCCTTTACCTTCTTCTGGAACGGCCAAAAAAGCATCTTACATACATTTGCTTTTTCTAATCTCTTCCTTCAGACCCATCCTGTCATGAAACTTACAATTTTAACCATGTCACTTCCCCTTCAAGGAGTTCCCATTCCCCACAGAAAAAAATCCAACTCTACCTGGCTCCTTGCACTTCTTACCTTTCAAGCCTTACTTTTTTTTTTTTTTTTTTAAACCATATCCCTGACAGATCCCCTCTCTGGGACAAATTTGTTTACAGCAGTTTGCCCCTCTGCCCCCTAGTTGGTCCCTTTCTCCTCTCTATACATAGTTCACCTAGAGAAAAGAAAACTGACTCATCTTCCCAAATCCAGTTCATAACTTATGTCCTCTAAAAATCTTTTCTAACTCTTAAATGTGAAGTTACTACTTGGATCCTTAAAGCTCTTATAGACTAATTGTCATCTGTAGAATTCCTTTGGTGATGAGACAAATAATGTTTTGTGACTTGCGTGTTTTCCTGAATAATGATGTACATTTTTAGAAAGATTTTATTTATTTATTGTAGAGAGAGAGAGAGCAGTGGGGAGGGGCTGAGGGAGAGGGTGGAGGGGAGAGAATCTCAAGCAGACTCTGCACTCAGCATGAGCCCAATGCAGGGCTCGATCTCCCAACCCCGAGATCAGGACCTGAGCCAAAATCAAGAGTTGGACACCCAACCTACTGAGTCACCCAGGCACCACACAATTATTTACATTTTTAATTAATCTTGTCATAGTGTCTGTTTGCCCTTTCGAACAGTGTTATTGGCACTTTAAATAAATATTTAGGTATTTAAATATAATTTATGTACAGACATTTATAAAACTGTATTTAAATATAATTTACATACAAATATTTAAATATAAATATATTTAAAGAGGCTGCTTTGGGCGCCTGGGTGGCTCAGTCGGTTAAGCGACTGCGTTCGGCTCAGGTCATGATCCCAGGGTCCTGGGATCGAGTCCCACATCGGTCTCCCCGCTCTGCGGGGAGCCTGCTTCTCCCTCTCCCACTCCCCCTGCTTGTGTTCCCTCTCTCGCTGTGTCTCTCTCTGTCAAATAAATAAATAAAATCTTAAAAAAATAAATAAATAAAGAGGCTGCTTTGCCTTCTTCCACAACTGGCCTGGCATACTTTTTTTAGGTGCTCAAATACTATAATAAAATAGCTTGGACAAGGTCCCAGTGAGACCTTTCCTGGTGCTGAATTATCTGCTATGGTAGATAATGTCTTATTAAATTTTTGTAACAGAAAAATCCAGGTAGGGACACCTGGGTGGCTCAGTTGGTTAAGTGTCTGTCTTTAGCTCAGATCATGTTCCCAGGGTCCTGGGATCGAGTCCTGCATTGGGCTCCTTGCTCAGCAGAGAGCCTGCTTCTCCCTCTGCCTGCAGCTCCCCCTGCTTGTGCGTGCATGCATGCTCTGTCTCTGAGAAATAAAACCTTTTTTTTTTTTTTTTAAGATTTTATTTGTTCATGAGAGGGAGAGAGGCAGAGGGAGAAGCAGGCTCCCCACTGAGCAGGGAGCCCGATGCGGGACTCAATCCCAGGACCCCGGGATCATGACCTGAGCTGAAGGCAGACACTTAACCGTCTGAGCCACCCAGGTGCCCCCAAATAAAACCTTTTTAGAAAAATCCAGGTATTTGTAAAAATACAAGCCCTGTTTTGGTTTTGACGACCATTTTAAGTTTTAATAGTATATTACTATATTGACATTTTTTACCTTACTTTCACTGTGGGCAAAGGATCCTTGTTGATTCCGTTGATTTACTTCTCATAAAGAAATATGTATTGAGAAGTTCACTAATCTGTTTAATCTGGCTGTTCTGCAGATCCTGTCTACCTTTCATGACCAACTATAGTTTTCACTGCAATGTGTGCCATCATAGTGGGAATACCTATTTCCTCCGGAAGCAAGCAAGTAAGAACAAACTATGGAGTGCTGCAAAATTGTCCTCTGGTTAGCTGCAAAAGAAAAGGGACTTGGACGTAGCAGAATCAGGAAAACTCTTCCTGGTAGCTGGTAGAAGTTCGGGTTTAGCTCTGAATAATGGCTATTATCCATTTCAGATCAATGATGACTCTACTTTTTGCTGCTGTAATTGTTAGTTTGTGGACCACCTAGTTGAATATTCTTTTGGTAATAGGGGTATAATACTACAGATAACTTTTTGTTTTTGTTTTTGCTAGACTTGAAGGAAATGTGCCTTAGTGCTTTGGCCAATCTAACATGGCAGTCCCGAACACAGGATGAACATCCGAAAACCATGTTCTCCAAAGATAAGGTAGAGAAGAAATTAATGTAATTGCAATTATGCCCAAGAATCAGGTGGAACTTTTAAAATATACTTTTCAACAATAAGTACTTTCCCCCCAATTTTTATGAATATATGACTATAGATTCAGTTGTTACGTGTTACTTACTTCATGTGATTTACTAACTTCTTGAATGTGCATAGTATGTCACTTGGCTTAGCTGTTAGTTGGATGAATCCTTAAATAGTTTTGGTTGGCTTTATAGAGAAGCAAACAACTGTCCCACAATTAATCAGATCTTGAGGTGGACCTTCTCAGCAGCTCAGTTTAGCTATATTTACAGATGATTATTACAGCTTTTGTCAGAGGGAAGGGGATGGGCTTATTTAAACGAATTATCCTTTATTATTAAACTGCAAAACCACATGACCAAAGTCAGGAATCAAAATTAGATGATTAGCCCATCCATGAGTCTTTCCTACTGTGATTCGTGGTAAGAAAATGAAGTAAATTTTAAAACAGTGGAGTTTACATTATGCCTAGCGTACATTTATACCTACCCACTTTCATTTAAAACTGAAACAAAAATTTCACCAGTGCTTACTCTCGGATCTTTTCCCTCTGTACTCTTGTTATTTTCTATTTTAGTCAGTGCTAGTTTTGACCTACAAAATTGATTTTATAACCTACTAATTGCGATCTACAGTTTGAAAGACACTGGTATGGGGTGTCTGGTGAGACCAATATAGTTGGGATCAGATCTGCAAGGGATTTTCTACTGAATAGAAGTTAGGACTTAATCCTGCAGACTGGAGTAGTCAGCAGACGGCCCCCTCACCTTCTTTTTATTCCTGCATTAGAGGTGTGCTGTGATCAGATTTGGTTTTTTTCTTATTTTTTCCCCCAAATTATTATTTTGAATTTTTCAAACATAATAGAAAAATTCAGATAGTACAGTGAACATTTGTTTATTCTTTACCTAAATTTGCCGGTTGTTAATATTTTATTGCATTTGCTTTATCACCCAGTGTCTGTTTTTTCTCCCTAAGCTATATGAGACTGAATTGAACACTATACCCAGTATTCTCTCATAACCACAATACAGTGATCATACTCAGAAAATTTAATGTTGATGTATACTACTGTCTAATATATGCAGATTTTATTTTTTATATAAAGTATATAGCTATATTTTCTCACTGTTATTCTTAATATCCTTCATAGCTTTTTCCTCCATCCAGGATCCAGGCAAGGATACACATTACATTTAGTTGTAATGTCTCTCTCTATCTCTCTCTCTCTCTCTCTCTCTTTCTCTTTCTCACAACCCTGAGATCAGGAGTTGCATGCTTTCCCCACTGAGCCAGCCAGGTGTCCGTGTAATGTCTTTTTTGTCTTTAATCTAAAACAGTTCCTGAACTTATTTTACTTTTTTTTTTTTGGTCTGCTATGGCATACATTTGTTTATTTAAGTAATCTCTACACCCAACGTGGGGCTCCAGCTCATGACCCCAAGATTAAGAGTTGCATACTCCTCTGACTTGAGCCAGCCACGCGCCGCGGTGTGCTGTGACATTAAAAATTTTGAGGAGCCTAGGGGCGCCTGGGTGGCTCAGTTGGTTAAGCAACTGCCTTCGGCTCAGGTCATGATCCTGGAGTCCCGGGATCGAGTCCCACATCGGGCTCCCTGCTCAGCAGGGAGTCTGCTTCTCCCTCTGACCCTCCCCACTCTCACGTGCTCTCTCTCATTCTCTCTCTCTCTCAAATAAATAAATAAAATCTTAAAAAAAAAAAATTTTTGAGGAGCCTAGACAGTTGTTTGGCATGATCCTCCTCAATTTGCATTTATCTGATTGTTTCCTCATGATTGAGCTCAGGTTAAACTTTTTTTTTTTTAGAGAGGGAGGGGAGAGGAGGGGCAGAGGTGCAGCAGGAGAGGGAGAGAAAGACTCTCAAGCAGACTCCACACCAGTGCAGAGCCCGATGCCTGATCTCACAACCCTGAGATCGTCACCTAGCCAAAATCAAGAGTCAGATGCTTAACCAACTTAAACATTTTGGGCAAGAATATTATGTAGATAGTGTATATTTTTCTTGTATCACATCAGGAGGCATAAAATAGTTTGTTTTATTATTAGTAGTCCTAAATTTGATTGCTTGGGTAAAGAGGAGGTATCACCAGATTTCTCCATTGTAAAGGGACAGACATATTCTCTTTGTAATTATTAAGCAGTCTGTGGGTGATGCATTGAGATTGTGTGACTGTCTTGTTCAAACCCTTTCAAGCAGTGGTTTTAGCAACCACTGATTATCCTAGCCTGAATCAGGTTAATAGAGTAATCATTGTGAAAAAGAATACATTTATTGCTTGCAGTTCTTCTGTGAAAAGGGGTTTTCCTTTCTGTCCATCCTTTTTTTTTTTTTTAAGTATCACTGCGGATTTGTGGATTTTTATAGTCTGTTACTGGATTTCTGATTTCTGGTGCTCAGATTTGACCAGTGTAGCCCCATTTAGGCTGACTCCTGATACTTTGTGATATGTCCCTATCAGTTTTTGAACTCTTCCTTACTTTCTGGAACAACAGAATATTCCAGACTTCTTTTCGACTTTCCCCGATTCAACCCTCGTTCCTTTTATTTTATTGTTTGTTTATTTATTTTAAAGATATTATTTTTAAGTAATCTCTACACCAAACATATGGGGCTTGAAATTACAATCCCAAGATCAAGAGCCACACACTCTACTGACTGAGCCAGCCAGGCGCCCCAACCCTGGTTCCTTTTGGTAAAGATTTGGTTTTCTGGAACTAACTAGTGGAAGGTATTAGTGGTAGACTCTGACTCTGGTGGACTTGGGAAGAATGGTGAGAGTAGGGGAAGGTCGATGTCAGAAGATCAAACTCAGATATATTTTTAGTCACACCAGCAAGAACTGGCAAGGACCACAATCAAAGCAGCAGGGATTGAGAGGAGGCCGGATTGGTGAGAAATTTCTGAAATCTGAAAATTCATTTGGTGTTGGTTTAGATGTGAAAGTCATACACAAGAGAAGAATCAAAGATGACTCCATGGTTTCTGGCTTGTGGTTCTAGGTGATAGGTGATTCTGAGCATTAAGAACAAGAATAGAAATCGGCAGAGCAGGTTTGTGAGGTAGGATACAAAGTTTAGTTTTTTTGTGTTGTTTTGTTTTTAGAGGGTGGGGGTGAAATGCAGAGGAAGAGGGAGAGAGAGAATCTTAAGCAGGCTCTACACCCTGGATCTGTATGCGGGGCTCAGTCTTATGACCCTGAGATCATGACCTGAGCCAAAACCAAGAGTCAGATGCTTAACTAACTGAGCCACCCAGGCGCCCCCAAAGTTTAATTTTCTTACAAGAAGTTTGAGGTGCCTGTGGGGTGTCCACAAAGGGATGTCGGAAGCAGGTAGAAATAGGAACTCAGGAGAGAATGATTTAGGAGTATTTTCCAAATGGCACCCAAAAGAATGGGGTAGATCTTTCCCTCCAACTGGATTGTAAGCCCTATGTAGCTAAGATTTGTATATACTTATTTGAAATTCCTCACAGTCTATATGTTGTTTGCATGCAATTACATGTTTGTTTAATCGTGAAAAGACTAAACATGGATTTTTCTCTCAATTCTGACAAGGTCTTTGAAAATGCTGCAGTTTTCTTTCCTTTTTTGTGAGTATAACTTTGAAAGCAACTATAGAAATCTTAATATATTTTGTTTTAAAAATTAGGATATCATACCATTTATTGATAAATACTGGGAGTGCATGACGACCAGACAGAGACCTGGGAAAATGACTTGGCCAAATAACATTGTTAAAACAATGGTGAGTAGACTAAAATGATTAGACTCGACATTTCGAAAGTCAGTGTTCTTTGTAAGAATTAAATTTGTTTTAGTCTCACTGAAATAATGTGATGACTAAGAAAATGAGAACAACTTAGTTTTAAATCTTGGAGAGTAAGGTATCACTAATTGTAAATTTTAACAGGTTTCACACGTCACAAATTGTGTCTAAAGAGAATATCATATCACCCTGGTTGTTTTATACACGACACTGATACCTTTGTCCACTGTACTTTTGCAAGTATAATTTTATATTGACATTGCAGACTATTTTTTCCTTTGCTTTAAAAACAAAAACAAATAACACTGTTCTAAACATTATTGTCCTTAGAATTAAAGAGAGCACCTGGGGAGAAGCCAACAGCAAGCTGTTAACAGTGCTTATCTCTGTGAGGTGGAGGGATAGGTGAGGATTCCGAAGGACTTTGGCTCTCATTTTTTCAAGTTTCTCTGTTTGAATTTTTGGATGGTCATGTATTAATTTTCTAATCAGAGGGAAAAGCAATACTATCATTTTGGGAGATTACACTTAGGAATTGGAGTTGCTGGTTGATCATCCATTCAGTACTACTTTGAAGTATAAAATTTCCAGTAACACTAAAATACTGCTTCCTTTTAGAGTAAAGAAAGAGATGTATTCTTAGTAAAGGAGCATCCTGATCCCGGGAGTAAGGACCCAGAAGAAGATTACCCCAAATTTGGACTTTTGGATCAGGTATTTTGTACTCCCCTTTTGATTTAGAGTCCGAGAATCAGGTTTTGTTAACATTTGTCTATTTGCCCCTGCCATTACAGACCTCTAACATGGTGGGCTGCAGGTAAAGTGTTTCTGCTGTGTGTGCAAAGAGCCCTCACCTTAAACCAGGAGACTAGCGTTTTAGTTCTGGCTCTTCCCCTTAATGTTATAACTCTGTGCATATCCTTTTTATCTTTTTTAACTTTAATTTCCTCCCTTATAAATAGGCTGTGCCAAGTTATTTCTCATTTTTCAAAGTTTACTCTTAAAAACATTTGTTATTATGAAAAAAATTTGTTGTGAATTAGAATTTGTGTTGTGTATCTAGCATAAAAGGACGAAAAAGAAAATTTCCACTCTCTTTGTTTATGGCAGGGGTTACATTTGGCATGTCAGGAGGCCAGAGCTTTTAGCTTTGCCTTAAAATGTTTGATCTGCCAGCATTGAAAATTCAAGGTTTCACATAGAAATGTTACTGTACAAGGGTCCATTGCCCAATGATGCACAGTAAGCCAAACACTGACAACAGTTTTGTAGCAGAGAAAAAGGGTTATATTGCAGGGTTCCAAGCAAGAAGATGGGAGAAAATTGCTCAAATCCACCTTCTCAAAGGATAGGGGTTGGGTGTATTTAACCATAAGGAGACAGGATGTCATGGGGTGGTGTGTAGGTTGAATGGAATATGCTGATTGGATATAGGGACAAAAAGAGATGCGCATTTAAGGATCAAGCCTCTTGATGGGACAGTGCTCAAAATGGCAGCATAAGGATGATGGAGTGGGGGGGATTCTGGGGGGGGGGTGGTGTTTTGTCTTTTGTTTACTCTTGGTCCCTTCTGCAAAGTTGCAGGAATTCCCTATTCCAGTCTTAGCTAGTCTTGTCCTTGGTCAGTCAGCTTCTGCAAAACAGGTTCATAAATCAATCAGGTTAGCCAGAGTTTTCTTAGGGTAGATGAGTCAAGCATTTGTTAACTTAATATACCGGTTTTAGAAATTCAGATTTCTGTCTTTTCTTCTAAAATGAGAAGATCTGATTACAATGGGCCTGAGTTCCCACGGGGAGCTGAGAAAATGGGGCTTAGGCACTCCTGTTTGCCTTTGCCCCCTCCACCACCCCACCCCCAATTCGTTCTCAACCACTTTGATCCTTACACTTGTCCCACACATGTTACTTGCTGATCTCTGTAGCATCCAAGTTTGGGACCCTGTAAATTGCAGACTCCCTAGGGTTGTCAGTTTTGATTCACATTCTGTTAGAATTTCTTGGTTTTTTGAGCATTGCCAGAGTGCTTTGATTATATAGCCTTCCTTTGTAATTGAATATATTTTTCCCTCTAGGATCTTAGTAACATTGGTCCTGCTTATGACAACCAAAAACAAAGCAGTGCTGTGTCTACAAGTGGGAATCTAAATGGTAAGTGTTTAAATGTCTCCTTGATGAAATATTTGTTAAGCTATTGAATCCAAATATGCCTAGAGTTGGGCATCCTTTGGGTTGACTCTCAACTGGATATTTACAGAGGCTTTAAAGTACAGAACTCAGTTTTTGGAAGCTAGCCAAAGATTTGACAGATGGTAGTGGAGAACTTTTTGTCCCTTTACCACAGTTTGGTCTCAAGTGAAACAGATGTAGCATAAAACAAGTACAGGTTTAAGGTCAGATTTACTGTGTTTATCTTAGACTCCCTGTCTGTATGTCTGTATCCTCATCACTTAACACCTACTGTAGATTCAGCTCTCCGCTCTTACTCCTAATTCAGCTGTTATTTAATGGAGTTCCTATGCCGGTGTTTCTAATTTTTCTTACCCTGAAACTTTAGCTTATTCCCATGACAGCAATCTGTACTGATTACCCGCTATAGATGTGTTTCTGTTGGTAACCCACCTAATGACAGGAATGGCCTTCAGTACTAATGGTAATCTAATGAAAGTTGGGGTAGCTGGGAGGTAGCTAGCTATTCCTCTAACACATGGTGTCATTAACTTGTCCTATGGAGTGGTAACATCTTAAATATGTAATCATTTCTACTGTTACTAATATTCTCAGATGGGTTGGAAATAGCTAAGTGAATTATTTATCTTTTTACACCATTTTTTCCCATTTTAATTGTTACAATTTGACAAATACATGGTGCCACTTCTGTTCTTACAGGTGGAGCCTCTTTTGGAGGTGAATTCCTCCTCTGTCTTCTTTCAGCCTCTCAGACTTAAGTATTATGTGGTTTGGAAAATGCTTTTTGCTGAGTTGTGGTAGAAGCTAAAACTAAATTAAAATTTTAAAGCATCGTGAAAATGGTGGCAATAGCACTTGCTATGAAACTGTAGTTCCAGTTGAATGTTAGTAAATTCAAAGCTTATCCGTTGTCATATTCTGCCTAACATGGCCAGCAGTCCCCTTAGTATTACTTGTTTTATTCCAGCTTCTCTCTTAAAGTAATTAAAATACAATAACAATTAAAAATTAATAATTTTTTTAGGTAACTCAAGCTAGAGATAATGGATGTTACAACAGTTTAACATTAAACCTTTTTATGAAAAATAGGACTGATACCTGCTATGTTCATAAAAGGTAGTTCTGCATAAATCTGGTCCTGTATGTGCAGAATATGACCTGCTCTCAATGTCTTGATCCTTTTCATTGCAGCAGAACTGCTGATAATTTCCAAGCTTGCCCCAAATTAAGATACAGTATTCTATGCAGTTGTTTCCATAAAGGTGTTTTCCTGCAGTTCAGGGACATTTTCTGGCGGACAGAAAAACAAATTGAGAGGAAAGACGGAACTGGACAAAAATTTCAAAGTACCTATTTCAGAAATCACTAGGTAGTATTCCTTGTGGCTTAGTATGTAGCTAAATTATTTTTTGTATAACATAAGTAAATTGTCGATTGATATTTGCTCTTAATTCCACAAGCTAGATTAGTCTAACCTGAATTTTATGCATTGGCACGATCTTAATAATTGTAAAAGTTGCCTACTAAATTTAAAGCCTTTCCACTTGTGTCATGCACAACCAGAGTGGATACCTAGTAGCACTGGAGAGAAACACCTTTTTAGTATTTCTGTTTCTGTTTTCTATGTTTTATGTACCTTTGTCTTGTTGGATCTTCCAGTTAAGTGCTTTAGCAGACAATTGTGCCTGTATAATGTTATGGACTATATCATGCATAGTTCAAGCGAGTGAACATCTACTTATAGTGAGGATATTCTTTGTGGATGTTTGTATTGATTTGGGTGGAAAAAAATTTTATCCTTGCGATTGTTTTTAGATGTGGGTATTTGGAATCTGAATGAGTGAAAATGCATTTGTGTCACATCCTCAGAAAGTGTACTAGTCATTGCAGTTCATTAAGAAAGGAAGGTTGAAAACGTAACATAGGCGTCATTAGTGCTAGGTTCCTTTGAGCTTACTGCCAGAACCCAGTGTTCTGAGCTGGGAGACGCTCAGCCGACTCTTTCAGAAGCAGGGTGAGATCCAATACGCTCTCAGGAAGGAAATCCTCCTGTGTGTGGTGTTACACAAATGCACGTCAGGAGTGCTAGTCGCCGTGGAATTTCCATATCCACGTGAAGCTTCTATCACAGCTCATTGAGAGTGATCTGCCTTCTCTTCAAAGGGGGAATTGCAGCAGGAAGCAGTGGAAAAGGAAGAGGAGCCAAGCGCAAGCAGCAGGATGGAGGGACCACCGGGACCACCAAGAAGGCCCGGAGGTGGGCAGAACACCCACTCCCACTCACCACTGCTAGACCATTCTTTGGTGCTGGCAGTCCATCAGAGGAAAAAGAGCTGTACTCTTCACTAGCTCAGGTGTCTGAGATTACAAAGCCTGTCCATTTTTCTCAAATCTTGAGCACTTTGAGGGGTAAAATAATCTCAGGCGAGGAATCCTGTTTTACGGATTTGTGAAAACAGCCCCAGGGCGGCAACCCTGTGAGAGTAAAAATCTGTTAAGACATCTTGAGAAAGGAGAAGTGGAGGAGGGGGAGAGTGGACCCAGTATTGAACTTGAGCACTGGCCTCTTCCCTTTGCTTTGTTCAGTAAATCCTGTTTTTTTCTTATTTAGATTGGCAAGATAGTAAGGGCTCAAATCTTTGAGTTTCATTTCATTAGTTTATAGTAATTAATATACTAAAGGAAATTGCCCTTGTTCTCCTTCTCCTTTTTTCCCCCTATGACGTACTGGCTCCATTTCAAAGATAGTCCTACAGACTACGGAGTAATTTGACTGAAACCACTTTACCAAATTTAAAAATGAATCCGTTTCATTCCCCTGTTTTGCCTGCAGAGGGCAGGATCATCTATTTGAGCAATGAAAAGCATTTGTGAAGTTGCATGTGTTCCCGTTGAAATCTAATTAAATCAGATGTCCTTACAGATTTGAAGGCATTTGAGCTGGAGGGGGTTTTAGTTTCTTGATTTTATTTTTTCCTTTCTGCAGTGACCCTTTGTTTTCTGCTCAGCGCCTTCCCCCTCATGGCTACCCCTTGGAACACCCGTTTAACAAAGATGGCTATCGGTATATTCTAGCTGAGCCTGATCCCCATGCCCCTGACCCTGAGAAGCTTGAACTTGACTGCTGGGCAGGAAAACCTATTCCTGGAGACCTCTACAGAGCCTGCTTGTATGAACGGGTTTTGTTAGCCCTACATGATCGAGGTATGTAAGGTATTAATGTTCATGTTGGACCCAGATGTTACTTTGAATACTGTCTTCACCTTTGTCCAGTCTAGAATTAGATATACATGTCAACATCTCCCCCCCACCCGTTATAACTAGACTCAGCAGGAACGTGCAACAAAGAATCCCCTTGTCTCTTCCATTAAGCTCTCGCCGTGTGTGTGTGTGTGTGTGCGCGTGTGCGTGCGTGTGTGTGCGCGTGTTTTTAAGACTTTCTGTTTTGAACTTACTTTATTTTTATTTTTTAAGTAATCTCTACACCCAACGTGGGGCTCAAACTTACAACCCTAAGATCAGGAGTTGCATGCTCTACCGACTGAGCCAGCCAGGTGCCCCTATTTTGAACTAATTTTAAACTTAAAGTTATAAAAATAATAGTTTTACTCTATCCCTTCCCAAGCTTCTAATGCTAACATCTTACACAATTGATAGTAGGGTTATCAAAACCAGGAAGTTAACATTGGAATAGGCTATTAATGAAACAAAAGACTTGATGTACATTTCGCCAGTTCCCCACTAACGCCTCTTCTCTAGGGTCTCACGTTGCATTTCATTATTTCTCCTTAGTCTTTTGCAGCCTTTAACAGTTCCTCAGTCCTTGCGTGTCTTTCATGACTATTTAAGTGTATTAATCAGGGATTCTGTCGAATATTCCTCAGTGAGTGTCTAACTTTTTCTCATGATTAGACTGATACTACGCATATTTTGGCAGAATACCAAAGACATGAGTCCTCATTACATCTCATGGCAGTCATGATGTGGATATGTCTTATTACTGGTCATGTTGACCATGATCATCTGGTTAAGGTGGTTTCTCTGGCTTTCTCTGTCTTTCCCTTTGTAGTTAATAAATAGCTCAAGGAAAGATGCTTTGAACTTTGGAGATACCCTGTTTATAAAGTTTTGCTCTAGTATCCTTCAGTGGATCTTTTCTGCAACCATTTTTTTTTTAAGATTTTATTTGAGAGAGGGTGCCTGGGTGGCTCAGTCGTTAGGCGTCTGCCTTCAACTCAGGTCATGATCCCAGGGTCCTGGGATCGAGTCCCACATCGGGCTCCCTGCTTGGCAGGAAGCCTGCTTCTCCCTCTCCCACTCCCCCTGCTTGAGTTCCTGCTCTCACTATCTCTCTCTCTGTCAAATAAATAAATAAAATCTTTAAAAAAAAAAAAAGATTTTATTTGAGAGAGAGAGAACACAAAGCAGTGGGGAGGGCAGAGGGAGAAGCAGACTCCGCCTTGAGCAGGGAGCCCGATGCAGGACTCGATCCCAGGACCCTGAGATCATGACCTGAGCCAAAGGTAGATGCCCAGTTGACCGAGTCACCCAGGCGCCCCTGCAACAATTATTAATGTGTTGTGTTTGCCTGACGATTTTTTCTTTCTTTCTTCCCGTCTCCACTTATTATTTAATCGATTTTTGCTTGTATCAGTGTGAACTCAGATATTTATTTTATTCCATTGGGGTATACTTTGTCTAGTTGCTCAAATTATTCCAGCTTAGGCCATTGGGAGCTTCTTTAGGTTAGTTCCTGTGTTTTTTTGATAAGCCTCATCTTTTTTTTTTTTTTTTTTTTTTTTTAGTACTTCTTTACTTTCTGGCATCACAAAATGTTCTGGCTTATCTTGTATTTTCTCTGCCCTAGGCCAAGTATCAACTGCTTCTCCGAAGAGCCCTGGTTCCTTTGATTGGAGAATGAGATTTAGAAATAAAGACCTAAGTGTTAGGTATGCTCACTGGGTGTCTCTTTTAAACTCCTTCAGTGGCCAGAAGGAGGAGATTGTATGTATACCAACTGACACATACATATACAGGGTTCTACTGTGTTTGCACTGATAGCTTGGATTCCAGTCAAACACTCCTGGTTTGTTCCAGCCCTCTGCCTTTCCTTATTTGTCACTTCTTTCTCCAACAATGAGAAACCTGGCTCTGTCTACGGTGTATTCTCTTGTTTGTTCATTTCTAATATGCACATTAAGTTTCAGAATTGCTGACCTCTGTGAGAAACATTCACTAGCTAGCTTACAGCAGTTACATCAAGCTCTTTGGCTTTTAGCCTTGCAGTATCCCATTAGGTTACTGTTAGATTAGTTCTCTTCTTCCCCACCTCCTTCAGGGTGGTTGTGTATCTCATTTATAATAGTTAGGTTCATTTGTTAGTGTTTGTATGCTATTTTTAGGTTCTCCTACCTCTTGGGGGGAGAGAGAGAGAGGGAGGGAGTGTGTGTGTTTCAGGGGAGTACGTGAAGGGTCTGTTGAGTTCCAGAAGTTAAAGTTGTACAAGAAGGTTAACTCAGGGCACCTGGGTGGCTCAGTCGGTTAAGCATCTGCCTTCAGCTCAGGTCATGATCCCGGGGTCCTGGGATCGAGCCCTGTGCCGGGTTCCCTGCTCAGTGGGGAGTCTGCTTGTCCCTCTCCTCTGCCCCTGCTCGTGTTCTCTGTCTCAAATAAATAAATAAAATCTTTAAAATATGTATATATAACCATCATACCATTATTATTCCTAACTAAGATGAATAATAATTCCTTGATGATCTAATATCCGGTCCATACTCCTATTTCCATGGTTTAAAATATGCCTTTTAGTTGTCTCTTTGAATTAGATCTAAATAGGTAATAAATTTACTGCATTTGAAAGCCCATTATTTCTTGGTTTAATGCTAAAAGCTAACACTTGTAGGGGCACCTGCCTGGCTCAGTCGGTAGAGCCTGTGACTCCTGATCTTCAGGTTGTGAGTTCGAGTCCCACGTTGTGTATAAAGATGACTTAAAAAAAATCAAATCAAATAAAAAAACTATCACTTACATTGATGCTGGTCATTTGGAAGTGAAGTAAATGTCCATTATATGTGGATTGTTTGACTTCTGGTAGTGACAAGCATACTTTGATAGTAGGGAAGGCCAAATAAGTGACTTCAGGGTTTAAGAAGTGAGACTTGTCTTGTTTCACTATACATAACAGTTATAATTCCAGGAGAAAAAAAAGAACACTGGCCCATAGTAGTTAATTTGTTAGAATTTAATATATAAAATAGCAAAGGCTGCTTGCTGTTTATGCTATTTATGCTGAGCCTTACAAAAGTTAATGAGAAATCTGTATTGTATCTTTTAAGGGTTTTATTTTGAAATAATTTCAGATGTATAAAAAAGTGTAAGAATACTACTGAACTTTTTTTTTTCTCTGAACCATTTGAGAGTAAGTTGCCATGACGCCCCCTCATTTTTGAGAACTTGATGGTGTATTTCTTACAAGCAAGGATGGTCCCCTTGTGTTAGTTATTTAGTGCTGCTTACCAAATCACCATAAAACTTAGCAGTCTAAAACTACAAATGTTCATTATCTCCCACAGATTTTGAGGGTTGGGAATCTGAGAGCAGCTTAGCTATGTGGCTTGGCTCAGGAGAATTTATGCGGCTGCAGTCAAGCTCTTAGCTGGGCCTCTCGACTCTGAGGACTTGGCAGAGGCTGGAGGACTTATTTCCAAGATGGCTCACTCATGTCACTTTGACAGGATGCGCTCAGATCCTGACCATGTGGGCCTCTCCATAGACCACTTATTTATCCTCATCCGTGGAAGCTAACTCCTCCAGTGCAAGTGATCCAAGAGAGCAATAGAGTTTGAGTATCATCTGTGACCCAACTTTGAAGCTGGATAGTCGCTTCAACTTTGTTTTGTTAGGAATGAGTCACTACGTTCAGCCCACACTCAGGTGAAGGGAAATTAGGCTCCATCTCTTCAAAGGAAGAGTATCAAAGAGTTAGTGGATATTTTTTAAACTTTCACATTCTTACAGAACCAGTATATAACCATCAAAGACAGAAAATTAACACTAATTGCTACCATCTGATGCTCTTCAGATCCTATTCGTTTCTCCAGTTGGTGTAATAATGTCATTGTAGCAAAGGATCCCATTGAGAATCATTTGCCGAATTTAGCTGTCTTGTCTCTTAAGTCTTCTTCAGTCTGGAACAGTTTTTCTGTCTTTCCTAGACTTTGATGACCTTGAAGCTTTTGAAAATGAGAGGCCACTTGTTTTATAGAATATCCTGCAATTTGAGTTTGTCTGGTTGAAATCTCAGGATTCGATTCAATTCTGCATCTTTGACAGAAATATCATTAAAATGATGTTATGTTCTTCATGTTGCATCCTGTCAGGTGGTACGTGATTTTACTTTGTTCCATTACTGATGTCCACTTTGATCATTTAGCTAACATGGTACCTGCCAGGTTTATCCACTGAAAAGTTACTTTTTTCCCCCTATGTAATTAAGTATTTTAGGAGGAGGTACACCCTTTACTGTCCTAGTCTATCCTGGACACTTGCCTTGCTCAGTCCCCACCTAGTGGCTTTAGGGCTGAATTGCCCAGGGAGGGATAAGGGAAAAAGTGTATTTGAGAAGGTAGAATTTGCCAAGTACCTAAGAAAGTTCTGCTATACAGCATGTAATTCATTTAAGGAAGTTATCGTTGTATCTGCCTAGGACATGAGCCATTATGGTCTGTGTAACCAAAAGAGTGGGGGGCCAGGGCTTTTCAGTCAGCTGTGCCACACTGAGCTGCGGTATGATCTTGAACAGTCACAGAATCGGCTGCTCCGTCTGCACGGTAGAAAGGGTCAGAGTCTGTCTACCTACCTATCTACCTGTGAAAGTACATTGTAAATCATAAAGACCTTTATAAAAGCTATAGCCAATCTAAATTTTGTGCTTCTTCCAGTAGAATTCAGGCTTTTAGTGTTACAAACATGGTTTCAAATGCTTTTTCCTCAGTTAAGTCTTAATTGGATCTGTGATGTTTCTGCATTGATAAAATCAAACTACATCACCTGAAAATACTCTCCTATCTTTTGTCATTTTTTTCTTCATTTCCAAGTCACAATATCCCCTCCAATTGATTTAGATTGTCCCCTGTATCTTACATAATGGCCTCATAGTCAAGTTTCAAACCATACACAAAGGTAGAGAGATGAATACAATGAATCTTATACTTTCCACCCACATTTAGCAGTTATCAAGTTTTTGCCATATTTGTTTTACTGTTTATTTTTGTGTTTCTCTTTTTCTGAATTTTTAAGAAGTAAATCTCACTCTACATACTCTAAAAAATATGCATTTCTAAAAGATAGGGATGCTTTCTCTCACAACCACAAAGCTATTATCACACTTAACAAAAGTAATCATTCCTTGCTATCATCTGAATTCAGTCCATAATCAGATTTCCTTGATTGTGTCAGGTGTCTTTGTATCTCCCCACAAAATGCTTATTAATTACAAAGAGAAAATAGTGACTTCATAGTGGAGAAACCAGTGAGGCACCACGGTAGTCAAGTGATCAAAGTGTAACATGGGCATTTTGACATCATGTGCTTCCTGATACTATACACTGAGAGACACAGCATTATTTACTTCACTGATGTTCCTGACGTAAAAGCATAACCTATGCTTAAGCAGGAGGAAACCTCAGCAAACCTAACTGAGGGACATTCTACAAAGGAAGGTGACCAGTACTCTTTAAAATGTCATGGTCGGGGCGCCTGGGTGGCTCAGCTGTTAAGCATCTGCCTTC